TTGTTCCTTTAACACCCATTTAACATGTTGGTATGAGATACCACATGTGGGTTCTGGTCCAATAAGAGTTTTTCCGCTCCCTTCCTTGCTAGGAGGTCTGCTTTCTCGTTTCCAAACACTCCCTCATGTCCTGGCACCCATTCAAGGGTTTTCTCATTTAGTGAAAACCAATCTACCATTAATAATAATAAGAAAATATAATGAGGGCTGAGGCAATCCAATTAATCTGAAGTTACTGCCACTAATTTTTTTCTATTTCAGTTGAGATCAATAGTCGCTTTTATGTATTTTTTCTCAAGACCCAAGAACAATTACTTTGAAAGGGAAATACCTCAGGACTATCCGAGTTTTTAACCACTTTCTTAACTATTCTATCATTTTTTTGCCATCGGTGACTGGAAGTTCCTTTATGATTCTAAGAGAGCTGGTGGCAGTGCTACTTTTACCACAATGTTACAATATTTTAATATTATTCCACGTTTGTTTTGGTCTAGCTATTGTGTTTTCACCTAAAGATTTGGCTTCCGAAACTTTTTGAGCTCTCCATAAATGCTCCAACTATATAAATGTTTTTCCTCAACGATTGAATTTGACATAATTAAAAATTTGAAAATTACCTAGATATTATTTTTGTCTACAAACATTTTTAAATATAGACTTTAAACAGTGCTTTTAACGTACAATCTAGTATCAAAAGTTCATTCTAGTACTAGTAATAATATTAAAACTAGAATTTCAAGTAACAGTAAAGTTAAAAGTAACAATAGTTTAAAAGTAAATTGCCAGGATAATCCGCTCATAAGTTAATATAACTGTGTATTTGGTTGTTTAGCCTTCTGGTGCAATCTATAAACGACAAATTTTTAACGTAAGCATTAAATTAATTAATGGTTTTTATAGGAATTTTTTAATATTGCTGGTTAATTTAAGAAAAATATTAATCTAAAATTATATATTTACTTATGTGTATACCTTATAAAGAACGCCCATGGGCTTCTTCAGAAACACGTCGTAAAGAATACTTTATCTCGAACATATCTTATCAAAGACATTTTCATAAGCGTGCTTTGCTTTTTATATAAAAAATGTAACTGGTCGGAAAGTAAATTAATTTTATTTTCTAGAAATGTAAAGTTGAAACGTTCAACGGTATAATAAATAAAATAGTTTCGTTGTTATTTATTTGACACACAATTTGTAAAGAGACGGTTCTAGTAATAAATACAAACTCTAAATAAATTCCTTCGGTAAAACATGTTGAATAATCATTTCAGTTTATTTCTCAGAATTTCTTTTTTTTTTAATACCGGTTTGGTTTAATTCAATTCAAAAAATACATTATTTGTCATTTTATATAAAATTTTAAAAAGTTACAATTAAGTATGTCCTAAATACGAAACTAAGAAGCCGTTCAAGTATTACGTAAGCACTATTTGGGGGCGGGGGGGGGGTCTTTGTTTTGCTTAAGTATTTTGGATAACATGGGGGGTCTACATGATGATCACGTCATCGGTAGTTATTTACTTTTTAACACGAAGGGCAACCCTCACATTGTCTTTGCTTGAAAACGAAACGCATTTTCGGGGATTCCCGCAAATAACGCATACGTTTAGGCCATAGATATATAACCAAGACAGATAGGATTATTTACAAAATTTTTGAAGAATGAACGGTGGTGTCCGCGGTAGAAACTCAATAATCGGATTGAACATTGATGCCAAGTTTACGTGCTTTTAACTATAGATATATATAACCAATACAGATTACACAATTTCTGAAGTCAACGCGGATGATCCTCGACAGAAATGCAATATTTGGATAAAATTAAACTATTGATGCCAAGTTTGCGATGTTTTCAACTGTAGTAATGTTATTGCGTTTGCTTGAATTACTGTTAGGTCTTTAAATTGTCAAAAAAAAAAAAATGTCTGACAACAGCGGAAGTTGAGTAGACCGCAATTGTGAAGGGTCGTATATTGTTTCATTCATAAAAATTCCTTAGATACAGTACTAGTCCAGGAGCCAGTGAATTGTTTCGTACTTGTTTTCCCGGTCCGTGTATATTTAAATAATCTATTCCCGGTGAACTGTATATTTAAAATGGAACGCCAATCTATTAACAAAAGTAAGCCAGATTGAATTCGCGCATTACATCACATCGATACAAGTGAGATTGTTTACAAAGTGCTTTTGCAGGCCTATTTTGCCCATTTCATGTATTTGTTTTTAAATCATGTTAAATTACTATTTTTGAAACTCAACAAGGAGAAAATCCAATTAACTCTTCCGTTGTGTATATATATAAGATAAATTAACTGAAGTTTTATTAGTAAAGTATTAATACTAAAATTTTAATGTAATTTACAGAAAATAGCTAGGTATGTATTTGTTTTTAATTAATTTGATAATTTATGAAAAAAGTGAGTAAAAGTGGAATGACCAGTGGCCAGTAGGTCAGTCAATACAAAGTATCATATATTTCTATTATAACATAACTAAAATACCTACATCTTTTAATCATAAGGACATAAGTTAAAAACCATTTTAATATATGCATTAGAATGAAGTAATAATAACTTAAAGAGACGAGGTCTTAAAGTAATAGCTGGTACAACATGTTTTTTAAACGTTTCCTCATTGCTGCTAGAATAAAATCACTTACTATGAAATGTGCTCTAAAAAAAGGCATTTATAGCAGTCAGTGTTCAGTCTTAGGATCTCTTCCTAAAAGCCCTCATCCAAGCTGCATACATATTAAAAAATAATTTAAAAAAAAACATATTATATACCTATATAGTTTTCGGTTCTGGGTGCCCTAAAAGAGGACAGTTAGCCGACAATTTGGCTCAGATAGCTAAAACCCAAAAGTCACACCCCGAACCAGGACGTATTGCTATCCTTTTAAGTAAAAAATAACTACAAATAACTTACCTGAAAAATGAAGGCGTCTAACTTTACACCAAAAAAACAATACACTTTTTCCCATTGTTGCAAGCACCCGATGACGATTAGGTAGATATCAACTAGAAGCATGTACTTAATGGTTATAAAGCTTATTTTAACACAAAAAGAATAAAGCACTAGTCGAAAAGCAGCAATCAAATATAAATAGACCACAATATTAAAATTCAAATTAAAAACTATATAAAAGACAAATACTCTAAAAGCGCAAAAGATCAGAACCAAATAAAATGAATAACCATAATAACCTAAAAATCACACTAAAATTGCAAAAACTATTACTGTAAAATCATGAGATTACATCAATAATGCATATGCGTCGGAGTATCGCAAATGTCAAAAGTACAATGTTTCCATGAAAATTTAGCTATGTTTTTAGCAGTATTATAGAACCATTTCTACCACGCGCATCCAACGATATTGGCGTTCCACAGTTCACTGTATTTTCCTCACACCTCTAGTATAAATGATTTGACATAACGAAACTAACAATAATTATAATTAATGTAGAGTAATAAGTGATTCTTGAATTCTAAATAAAACAATTATTATATAAAAGTGTAAAAGGAAATGTAATTTATTTCCCTATTTTCTTCTGTAATATCTTCAATTATTATGTTTAATTTCTATAAATAAACCAACTGGTTAGGTGAAACATTGTGATATAAGATTTTATTTATGTGTCCTATGCGTACACTTTAATATACAAAACACCTGGAACATTCTTTAAATAATTGTGGTCGTAGAAATAATTGTGTACATAACTCGTTTGAAAGTGTATTTTATGCACTTGCCAAATATATTATCCATACAGATTAATCAGACTATTTTTTTACTTAACTTCAGTACATCTCTTACTACTAAAACTATTTTTATCAATGGAAAAAAAGGGCCGTGTTCTCGTATGTTCTGACGCATTTTCGGCCTCAGCCCATCGGATCCCCCCTCTAAATATATATGAATTTTGCTTAGAATTGCTAATCCTACAATTCTCTATTCGTGCTTGCTGACTGGGAAAATAAATACCGAAAATCGTCACTGTCTCCTGGACTATACAATAGATGATGATGAGAACTTCACAACAAATACACTTTTATGAATGGCTAGTTGGGGATGTGGTTTAGGCACTCGCTTTAGAACCAAGTAGGGGAATTACCGCGCGCTATTCACTTGTCTAAATTTCCTCTGTCAGTGTATTGTTTCGTTTGGATACTATAGCGAGTAGACGTATTGTAAGCATAGCAAAGCAAGTTAACATTTGTGTTACCGTTGATTCCATTAGCCAAACTTTAATATTTAAATAAGATATCGTTTCAAATAGACAAATCCAAAGTTATACCAAAAATTGTTTGAAAGTTTTAAAAAATCTCATACAAGTACGAAAGTACAAAATGTACAAAAGCTAGTCAACGAAGTGTGGCGAAATTATAAATACCAAGCAAAGTCCGACAAGGAACTAGATATTATTATATCTAAGAGAATTGAAGAAGAATTGCAAGCGGCGACTAAGAATAAATCCAATCTACTACATTTTTTTTCCAAGGTGAGTGACGAAATCATTTTAGGTACCTATGATTACTAGAAATATTAGAAATCGCCAAAAAGTTTCTCTTTACATTTTGTAACAATAATTTAGAGACGTTTTATGATTAGAAAATATTATGGCCTATATCAAAGTATAGGGTAATATTTATTATATAGATTTATTTCTTTAGATTTAGTCACAAAATACAGGGTGTTAGTTTTCTGTACCTATGTGATGGGTTCGATTCCCGGCGTTAATCTTTAAATGCAGTTTTTTATTGCATACTTTGTATTTATGTAGCTTAATAAGAGAATATTTAGCAGAACCCATAGAAAGTTTTTATTTTTAGGCAACGACTACCTGTAAACCTGCCGAAAAAACACAAATTATACAGCCAGTTTCAAATATTAAAAAAGAGGAAGAAGATAAAATAAAACCCGGTAATAAATCACAACAGCAATGCGAAAATAATGATAATACAGATAAACAGAGATCAAAACCTTCTTAGAAAGCTATGAAAAATAAGTTTGCTCTACTTGAAAAAAATCTGAAAGCTTCGTATTCTGCCAGAGATACTGTGCCAAGCCGTGCTGAAGTTGAAAAACAGATCATTAAGTTGCGCGAGGAAATAAAAACAGCAAAACAGTCTTTAAACAGGAAGATTCAAAACGCAGTTGCCCAGAAGAAACACAGAGATGGTATGAAAAGAAAGTTAGAAGATATTTGTCATGAAAATCCGGAAATAACAAAAAAAGACTATCTCTGAGGGATTCAGTGGGACGTCCTAATCTTGAAAGCAATCAACCATCACTATTGAAAACAATTGCGGATATAGCTTTATTTGGGAGTGCAGCAGATGATAGAAGACGAACGGTAAAATAGGATTTGACATTAGTCGCAGTGGGACATATCTTAGTTTGATTCCCAGAAAATCTAATTCTGCAGAGGGATGAAGACATGTATCGACAGTCTCTGTTAAGCTCATTCGGGCTCAAACTGATCACCACAAGAGCCACTTAGATAGCAAGTTCGCTGAAATATCAATTCATTATTTAGAGAACATAGCACCCATACTTGGACCACATCAAGTATTTTCCATAGCTCGAGTCCCTATTGGCGTAACTGCGGCAAATAAGCAAGCATCTCTTCTAATGCACATGGAATATAGAATCAAATTGCCTGACCACGATTGGGTAATCGCTGAGCGTCATAAATTAATACCATCTATTTATCCTGGTATCAAAATCACTTCCAGTATGCTAGGACAACCGCAAGCCGTTGGATATTTTGGACCAACATACATCGCTATTCGAAGTGGAAAGCATAGTTCATCTACTGCTAATACTCATGCTCAGGATTTCGAGACGCTTCTCGAAATTGAAGAGTTTCGACCATTAGCTATAACTGATCATGGACTAGTAAATCCAGTGGTAATCATGACAGTTGATGGAGGGTCAGATGAAAATCCGCGTTATCAAAAAGTCATAGGGTTTGCTATACAACACTTTAAGCGACATGATCTCGATGCATTGTTTTTAGCTACCAATGCTCCTGGAAGAAGCGCGTATAACAGAGTAGAGCGCAGAATGGCTCCTCCTAGTCGGGAACTGGCTGGTTTAATATTGCCTCATGACCATTTTGGGTCTCATTTAGATAAACGTGGCGTTACAATTGATGAACATTTAGAAATATCTAATTTCGAATTTGCAGGAAATGTATTAGCTGAAGTATGGAGTTCGATGGAAATTGATGGCTATAATGTTACTGCAAAATATGTTGGGGCAGGTGAACAAGATCTTCCTGACTTTGCAGACATTAAATGGTATTCGGAACATGTGCGTGAAAACCAGTACTTGCTTTAAATTGTAAAATGTAGAAATACAGAATGCTGTCGTCCAAGAAGTGGCCTATTCAGATTACTAGACAACAGGTTTCTTCCACTACCTGCAAAAGTAAAACAAACAGTTGATAACTTGGTTTTGGATGAAGGAAGGCAATTTCTTGATCTTCCAGTCAATTTAGCTCTACGCTTAAGTGCTTCACTCAAAGATTTCCTGCAAATGCCCTACGATTATTTTTGTCCGACGGTAAAATTGAGGCTATCAAGTCGAACATGCAAAACGTGTGGTCTTTATCATGCTTCCGTCAAGTCACTAAAACGTCCCATCGAGAAGATCCATAAAAAAGTAAACACGCACACTGATAGGAAAGTTAGACCTGTAAGAGTCGCTGCTCGTCGTGGTAATGAACTGATGTGCATTATTCAAAATTTAGAGCATAATGATGTTGAATGGCTCGATGAGAACGACGTAGACATTCCAAAATTGGATAAAAGTGAGCAGACTCACAACACTGAGCAGCAATCCAAGCAATCCAATGTCACCGAAAACTTAGAATCATAGATTCGGGTTTCATGGACTGAAGACTATTAATTTGAATTTATTATGTGTACCAAAAATTTAAAATAAGTTTTTTATGTTCGTAATATTATAATATTTTTATCCCTTACTCTATGTTGAATACTGTATTAGTAAAATCTAGTCTCTATCCTAAATCTATTTTCTTATTTCTAAAATTATAATTATAACATTAAAAAAAATAAATTTATAATTAAAAAATGTTTACGTAAGCATGGGAGGAGGGGGTAAGAGCTTTGCTTACTTTTGTTGACAAGGAGGATGGGGGGGGGGGGGGTAAATAATTGTAATCAATCTGCTTACATAATATTTGAACAGTGACGCATCATTGAAAAGCCCACCAAAAAGGCTCTCAAATGGTACCAATGACATCTCATATTTCATATATATTGGTATATGTAATAACTGATTTTTTAAATACTATATATATGGAATATTTTTTTTCTGAAAAAATACTGTTTGAAACCTACATGTTTTTTATAAAAGTTTAATCATATATTTTTTCTTGTAGTTCTTGGGTTTTAGGTGTTTGTCGAGGAAATGAAACTCGTGTTAAAGTAAAGTAAAGCTTACTTTAACACGAGTTTCATTTCCTCAACAAACACCTAAAACCCAAGAACTACAAGAAAAAATATAAACAAAGGTGTAAAAAAAAGCTTTAGAAAAGGAGGTCTCTTTTTATAAAGTAACAATATTTAATCATATATATCAAATTATGTATAAATTGTTATATGATCCATTGCAAAGTTTATAGTGTTAATAGTGTTAAAATTAGCAAATTAGCGAAACTAATTATTAAATTACAATGTTCCAAACAAACAGTTCACCAATAAAATCATACATTCCATAAATTATATAAATCTACAGTCCATCTCGCTTTCCTCTGACAGAAAGGAACCCTTGCGTGGGTGACGAAAAATAAATCGACGTCAGCTCAGGGCGGTATTTATTTTTAATGACAACATTTATAACTAATAAATATGCTTTAAAAAATTAAGCCTTAAATTGACTTGTTTTGTGTTCATAATAATGTAATAGATTAAAATAAGAACGTGTTTTGAGTCCATTGGTACTATTAAATAAAGCCATGAACACAATATAGAAAAAATAAAGAACCAAGCTAACTAAGTTAACATTGATCAAAGAAGTGAATTCGTGGAGAAAACAAAACTACAGAATCCAGGCAAAACAGATACAGCTTCTATGGATAACGGTAGGCATACCCACACGGAACTGTTGCCTAAAATCATTAAAAATTAAAGGCAGATTAATGTAGATGACAGGGTACCTTCTAATTATAATTTCGGTAGTACAAAAATCACTAAGATTAATATTGTTTAATAACAACAGAGTTACTTGTGACTATATGCTAAAAACAAAAAAGTTATGTATTTCTCCTGATAAAACTGAGGCCTTATCGCTTATTGTATTTGAGCTATATTAAGGGACACTCTCCCACTCTTTTATAAAAACTCGAAATATAGGGGAGAGGCTGGTACAGTGGTTTCGTTTAGAGTAAATTCTTGATAACATTAATAAATATCAATATATTTGACTGAGTCTCTGCCCACATAATGTTGAATAGATTTTTAACTTATTAATGTAAATTATAACACCAAAAACCACATAGCTAATACAAAAGTTACTATTTTTTGTTTTGCCAAAAGTGTGGCCACTGTACCTAATCAACTGGTACAATGGCCACAAAGATAAGGTACAGTGGTCATTATTTGCAATTCTTATATTTTATTATCAAAAAAGTTACAAAAAGAAATAAAACATATTTCACTTTAACAAACATTATAAGATGATAAATCGTTTTTAAAAGTAAACAAATTTACTGTTCGTTGTGTTCCAGCAGAGCTTATTGGTTGGGACAAAATGAGGACTATCTCTTCATTTGTTATGGTGGCAGAATCTTTAACTGAAGGGAATGAAAAATGTCTTCCATGTCGTCGTAGAAAATTTACACTGTATTCGTGATCCGAAGAAAAAACTTCTGTAACTTGTGCTACATAAAATTTCGAGGTTTTTTTGGTATTAAATCTCACCAAAACAAATGAATCGACCTCCACCCTTCGCGGGGTTATGTCCTGGTCAGACATTTCATCTGATTCTGAAAATAGACCAACATCATCGGAATCCGCAACATCCGACAATTCCCTATCACTGGATATCGACTTCTTTTTTTTTGTATTAGTCGACTTAACTGGACTATCAATTTTTCTTTTTACTGTTATCTTTGCTTTTTTTACTCTACTCCTTCTTGCTTTCTTTCTGCTGTTTCCGCTCTATTCTTTTATAAATTGGTGTATCAGTCAGAACTTCAGTAGTCTTCTTCTTTCTTTGTTTTTTTACTGGCATCAAGGTTGCTTTAGGGTATGGTTGCATTAACACAGGAGAAATGAATCGATTTGCAGTTGTTTCCTTGGAAGCTGCTACTGTTTCACAACAAACAATTTTTTTTAGGTGTAACTTCAGATACATCTTTCTGATTTGTTTTTAGTGTTTTATCTCGACAACGTGATGTTGAAGGGGACTGAATGTCAATTTCTGGTATTTCGCTGGCATTAAAATTGTTTGGTTCTTGTTCTTCTCGATCAACGTTTGGCATATCTGTTACTGTTGCGGCCATAAAATCGTCGTCGTTAAAAACGTCATCGTTGAATGGGAACACCCCAGTAGCTTGAAATGCTGATACCACATTTTTGGGACAGAAAGCAAGTGGATAAGCTTCCTTCAAAATCTCTGCTATATCGTATATGGTTATCCTCTTTCCTGGATTTTTCAACAACCATTTTTGACACTCATGTGAATAATATTTCTTCAGAGGTCCGAATACAGCTTTATCAAGCGGTTGAAGGCGATGGCTAGTATGTGGCGGTAACGTTAACAAAATTATATTATTTTCCTTTGCTAGTTTAATAGATGCCAAAGAAACATGGCTCTCATGGTTGTCCATAATGAGTAAAATGGGAGAAGCCTTTGTAGGATTAGTATGTGTCTTAAAATGTATCATCCACTGCTGTCATCCACCCAGAAGGTGTAGCGGAACCCTGAGTACCTGGTGGTGCATTTTTTATCATGTTATCCTTGAAAAATTTTCTAGGAAACACTAAAAACGGCGGTATCGAATTACCAATAGCGTTTATGGCATTGCATATGGTTACCAAAGTGCCCCTTTCGTTGGAAACTATTTGACCTACTTGCTTTTGTCCCTTTTTGGCTATTACTTTCCCAGTATCTTGCACAGTTGTTAGTGCTGTTTCGTCAACATTATAAACCTTAAACCTGAGAAGGCGTATATATTTTTCATAAATCGTCTTAAGATAACAAAAAAATTTTGCAACGACTGGTCGATTAAACCCCATCGCTCTGCCTAATGAAGTAGCTTCTGCTGATCGTAGTGATGATTCTGCGTTTCGTTTCATAAAACTAGTGAACCAAAACTTGCCAGCATTCTTGTTCTTTTCCCATGAGGTGGGTATTTTTTTCTTGTTAGCAATCGCCAAATCGTAAGCTAGTTTTCTAGCACCCTTTGGATTAAGACCGTGATGGAGCTTAGTCATAGTTTGCAGATAACTACTGAGTTATTTTTCTTCGTCTGTAAAAAAAAAATTTGGTTTACACGATAATATGGAGTCAATCTCGGAGCTCCTTCAAGAACGTCTGAGGTCCAATTTATATTATTTTTATTTTCTTGACATTTTTTAACATATCTTCTGAGCGTAGTCCGTGGAATATCGTATTTTAGAGCAGCAGCCTTTTGAAATAATCCACCTTCCATAACATCATATATAGTTCTTCTCATATCGCTATCAGAAGTTTTGCCAATTCCGGGATTTTTCGGCGCTGGACGTGGCATATTACGATCTGAAATTTATATTGTATGAAATAAAAAATATTTATCCTCATTATTTTTTTTAACTAGGAATAGTGGTCACTGTTTTTTGAAAAAAAAGAGCAGTGGCCACTGTTCCTATATGCGTTTGTGGCCACTGTACCAAAACCATCTTGTTTAATAAAATATAACCGAAAATCTTCTACTTTATTAATAGATCGTAATTTGCATCATATGCGTGTGTTACATTCTATGTATACAATACACCACGAAACTTGGAAAACATTTAATATGTATGTTATTATGGGCATAAAAGATGTTTAAACTTACCTATTTTTTCTACGCAGCACACATCTAAACAAATTAATTTGTAAAATACTTGTGGAAACGATTATACACGTGTGAATCGTAGTAAACGACCGTTGTGACTGAAATTATTAAGGTTTCGATTAGGTGGCGCGCCTGTACACATCAAATGAAAACAAATATTTAAAAGTGACGACTGTACCTGACTGGACACTGTACCAGCCTCTCCCCTACTTTATGGTACAAAAAATTACTTTAAGGTAGATGCCAGATTATTAAAGCAAAACCGGAAATGAAACTGACAATCAACACACCAAAGAAGGTAATGCGGCATCCTTAATAAAAACATACATTGGGTGAAGTTTGTAAATGTGAAATGTACCGAAACGTTTTTTAGGTACACCTAGTAAAGAGACCTTTTAGATCACATGTATTGTATACCAAATAATAAACTTATAAACACGTATATGAAAGTTAAAAACTAAATGAAGGTGCAAATAAGCAGAAAGAATATTTATGGCGAAGGAAGGAATTAATCAATTAAACAAGGTAATCAATTCGACGAGCCTTCCTGTATTGCTTTGGAATTGTACACTATTTTATCTATTTATCAACCTGCGTTATTAATATATTTGCAATTTTTTTGTATCTAGTCTATCTATCTATTTTATCTAGATAGTCTTGAATTAATTTTCATGTCTGTTCTTGTACTTGATACAATTTAGATACGTGGTTTTTATGTAAAACGTTTGCCATCGTGGAATGATAATTTGTGAAAAAATTTTTGTAAGGATTATTAGCTAATATTTTTTTAAATAGGTTTGTTGTAGTTTTCACA